TCTCCAAATTGTTAGTGTTGTATTGCTTCCTGTTTTCACTCTCTTTGTAGGGAAAACTAAGAATTCACTTTTACCTCATCTCCCTTCAAACAAATAGAAACAAAACATAAGATTAAAGTTTAAGATATGAAGTAAAATTCCTTTTTCAGGGCCTCCCCTGGTGGTGTAGGCAGTTGAACACTGTGTTGTGAAGCTTCCCGCAGCCTCTGCAGCGTCGGTTAGATCTTGGTTGGCGAGGGTCCCACATGGTGAGGCAGACCTCTCCTGCCGCGCCCGCTGCTTCCCTCAGCAGTGTATTTCATCAGTCTGCCTGTTCTGTTCCACGCTCTGTCTCTGGTAAATTCTCTTGCCCTCCCGCACATCTGGTCTATACCCTGGTTCTTGTATAAATAAATAAATAAATCTTAAAAAAAAAAAAAAAGACTTTAAAAAAATTCCTTTTTCACTACAAAAGTTCTTAATTCTGTATTTTATTTTAGACTTTAGAAAACTCTGTTTTGTATATTCACATTCAAGCATCACCTTAGAATCTTATTTTTTGTTATGAAAATTGTTCCTTTTGATCAGTCTGGGCAAATCAGAAAAATGAATGCTCAATAGATATTCATCAGTGACGGGAAATTCTTCACAGCATCAGTAAGATGCTTTATTATATCAGTAAGAGATTATTATACTGGTAGCAGGAAACTTTTTATGGGAGTCTAGAAAGTTCACATTTTATTTGATTCCTAATGGACCTCCCTTATCTATAACTACTTTTCTGTTTTCACGCTTTAATCACTGCTCCCTTTCTTATACATCAGAAAATAAACCATGAATTTGTATTTTTAAGGTCTAAAAGCTGAAAATAACAGCTGAAATATTGAAGCTGACTTCCTAGGCTTTTGTGCTGCATGCAGGTGGTTCGACATCAGTGGAAGGATAAACAATGAAATCAGCACATTTACACAAGAGCAGACAGTGGTGGCTTGCCAGTGTTAAATGAAACATTGCAGACCTGCCTTGAGCCCTTTGAAACAAGAGATTAAGAAATGGAACCTAAGCCAGCAGGGGAGAAAGATGTTTACCGTGTCAGAAATCAGTGAAATGCTGCCTTGAATGCTCCTCCAAGGTTATTTCAGTAACCAAAGTCATTCTTAATAAAACAATGCTCCTGAGTTTAGGGGTTTCTGTAAACTTTAGAAATATGCAAGCACTGGATTATAAATACCTTCAACTTCACAAACTTTAATGGAGCCTGTAGCATGTGTCAGAGACTGTGCCAGGAGCTGTAGATATGAGATTGACAACATCTAAAACAGCTCTCAGCTCTGGTTGCCTCTGAGAATGTCTCTCAGTCTCCTAGGCACCATTATATAACATCAGTTCCCGTTCCACCCTCAGAGATATGGAGTCAAAGCTGCTGAGTGTAAGTGTGGGATCGCCTTCCTTTTTTTTTAAGATTTATTTTTATTTATTTATGCATACAAGAACTGGGGTATAGGCCGGAGGTGCGGGGGTTGGGGCAAAAGTGAGAGGATTCACCAGAGACAGAATGGGGAGCAGAACAGGTGGATCAAATGAAATACACTGCTGAGGGGAGCAGGGGGAGACACAGAAAAGGTCTGCTGCCATGTGGGTTAGCTACCTGGCTGGGGATCGAACTCATGCCACAGTGGCTGGTGATAGCTTGATAGTGCTGAGACTTTAACCCCTGAGCCACCAGGGAGGCCCTGTGTGGGATCTTCTTAAAGCTTCATAGTTGATAAATATTGAGCTAGAGGTGAGATCATCCAGTCCAAGGATCTCAAGTCCCCTTAGAGAAACACAAGGATCCAACAACAGCCTAGTAGTGGGACACATAAATGCAGAGATATCCCCAGTTCTTCAAACTGTGCCTGGAGTTGTGGACATCACATGGAGAGGACAAGGAACTGGTACATGCAGATTTTAGAATTCTAAGTAGCTCTTCCTTGTTTTTTCCAGCTTCACGTTATTTTTTATTATGGCATGTTTGCTTAATTTACAGCCAGCAGAAAATACTTTGGGTATTGTTCTGTTCAAACATTGAGGTTTTATGTGTTGTACACAATAACTCCACAGCACGAGTTCGATCCCCAGACAGACAGGGAGCAACCCACATGGTGCAGCAGACCTCTCCTGACTCACCTGCTGCTCCCCTCAGCAGTGTATTTCATCAGTCTGCCTGTTCTGTTCCCCACTCTATCTCTGGTGAATCCTCTCACACACCCCTCCCCTCCTCCGCCCCTGCATCTCTGGCCTGTACTCCAGCTCTGTATGCATAAATAAATAAATCTTTATTTATTTATTTTTCAAGATTTTATTTATTTTTATACAAGAACTGGGGTACAGGTCAGATGCACGGGAGGGTAAGAGGATTCATCGGAGACAGAGTGGGGAACAGAAGAGGCAGACTGAAGAAATACACTGTTGAGGGGAGCAGCAGGTGAGACAGGAGAGGTCTGCTTCGCCATGTGGGATTCTCACTGGCTGGGATCGAACCCGTGCTGCAAAGGCTGTGAACAGCTTCACAGTGAGGCGCTCAACTGCCTGCGCCACCAGGGAGGTGCAAATAAATCTTTAAAAACAAAAGAATCCTTTCCCCACAGTATCTTTTTTTTTTTTTTTAAGATTTATCCATTTATTTATACAAGAACCGGGGTACAGGCCAGAAGCACGGGGGGTGAGAGGATTCACCAGAGACAGAGTGGGGAGCAGAACAGGCAGACTGACTGAAATACACCTCTGAGGGGAGCAGTGGGTGAGACAGGAGAGGTCTGCCACGCCATGTGGGACCCTCGTCCAGCCCGCCGGGATCGAACTGGCACTGCAGAGGCTGCAGACAGCTTCACAGTGCGGCACTCAACCACCTGCACCACCAGGGGAGGTCCCCCCACAGTATCTCTTACTTACATTTGTAAGTCTAAAAAATCTGGAGATGCTTTCACTCTGAAATGAGACTGGGAATGTCAACTCACTTTTCTTGGCCCCCAAACAACCTCAGAGAAATGCTAGGAATCCTAAATGATTAAAGGCATTTCTTAAACAACTTTGTGTGGCAGGAGTTTTGTTGATACCACTTACAATTCCCAGAAGGTGATCACACAACTTGACAAGGAGGAAACTGAGGCATAGGAAAAACAAGTGCCTTGTGGGAAAAATCACACAGCATGTAAGTGGCCATGTTAGGGTTTGAACCCAGAATCCCTGCCGCCAACCTAGTATAATACCTTGAATAAACAGCAATGGATTTAGGTGATTTTTTAATGTTAATATTTCCCAAAAATACATGTCCCAAGAAGGGCTGTCCTTTGAATAGCTACAGTGGTGAATATAGTTGAGGACAGAGTCAGTTTTATCATTTTTGGTCCAATACCATTTTTAATATTTCCTCTGGGGATTTCAAAACATTTTGGAAATGAATGAATATTTTACTTTGCTGCAAGCTGACCTTGTAGGGCTTCAAAGACAGTAACATCTTACAGAAAAGTGATTTTTTCTTTCAGTGGAATTCAATATAGGCCCTGGGCTGATTCAGCTCAAAAGTTACGGTGATCTGCATAAGGCTGATAGCCATGACGTCAGGGCCACAGTGGCCCTCTTGTCCTTCTCCGGCTGTTCATTCTAAGTATGTAAGATTTATAACCTACGCCAGCAGACTCAGGCAGAAGTGAACCAATTTGTCATTTCAGTCCAAAGGTTCTAGTAGACTGTGCTCTCAATTGCTGTCTACTAAAGAGGCACAGACTCAGGTTCTTAGAAGTACCCCTTTACATTTTTCTACATTACATTCTACATTACAAATGTAGAAAATTGGCTGTGTGCTACTTAAATACCTTCACATCCATCATGCAAGCCAGCTTTAGAAGATTTCTAGAGAAATTCTTAATGATAACAAATCTTATCAAGCAAAGCAAGGTGATCACAGACTGGAAATTACAGCCTTATTCTCCACGAGGTAATTACAAGTCTTTTTTCTCTATTAGAATGAAACATTTAAATCAGCATTCCTGCCCTAAGCTCCTATCACCCAGGTGAGTAACTAGGATATTTACTTCTTTAAAAAGTTTCAGTTTTGGGCCTCCTTGGTCATGCAAGGGGTTAAATCTCAGCACTATAAAGGTATCTGCAGCCACTACAGCAGGAGTTTGATCCCTGGCCAGGGAGGTAACCCACATGGTGCAGCAGACCTTCCTGTCTCACCTACTGCTCCCCTCAGCAGTGCATTTCAGTAGATCTGCCTGTTCTGTTCCCATTTTAGTCTCCATGTCCCCTCCTTACAGGTCACCTGGCATTGCAGGTGCTCTGTGAACAGGATCTGTAATCCTCTTACCCCCTGTACCTCTGGCCTGGCCCCCAGCTCTTGTACACATAAATAAATAAATCTTCAAAAAAAATTATCGCATGGATACAAATAAGTGGAGTTGAAATCTTCCGACAAAGTTTTGACCATTGCTTTACCAGGAACCTCTCCTGCCCATATGGACTGGGTCTAGGGTTTCCCCTACATTCACTCTGAGCAGAGAAGCTCAGTAGACTATGCAAAGTACTGCCACTGGATCCTCAAGATGAGTCTCATTTCTCTCCATTGCTAACTGGACATACCACCTTTAGAAAATTACTTATCTCCCTTGGTTTTGATAGCTCCATTGTTTACAGTGAGGTTAATAATGCCCTCTTCCTTGCTGAGAAGCCAGATGCTAATCCACATGATTTTATAAGGTTTTTTTTTCCTAGATCCAGACTATGACAGGTAGATCTATGACTGAATTAAACCTTTCTTTTGTTTTGTGGGTTTCACAGAGTTTAGGAAAAACACAACTTTACTTGAAGGGGCAATGAGAATTATTTGTGATAATGAATCATCATCTAATTTAAATGAGGTAAATGCAAGGCTGATCCTTACCAGTTATTACTCCTAATACCCCCTATTTATGAAGAACCTATTTATGAAGAACCTTCATCTATTTATGAAGAACCTCCAAGTCTCCAGTTCTTACCTTTTGACTTCCTGTCATGGTATGATCTGCCTCGATAATGAGGGGTATCCAAATACAGATTCTCAAGGTCTTCTTGCCATGATTCTGGATTGAAGTGTTTGAGCAGGTCTTCCACAGTGTCAAATTCTGCAATTGCTTTGTCCAGGGCCTCCGCAGTGAGCGTGGGATCCGTTACTGATGGATAGTGATAGGATACTCCCTAAGAGGGACATACAGCTCAATGTACTTAGAAAAAGTCCATTGCTATGCAATACAGTAGTCATACAACTCTATGCAAGGAACATAGGCAGGCTTCTTATTTTAAGACAGCATTTGCACAAATAGCATGCTAACGTACTCTCCACAGTCTTGCCATATACCTAAGCAAAAGCAATTCATTGGTAAGTGAGAGTCATTTATTTTTTTGGCAAATCGAAAACCAGGCAGATCATATATCTTCCAGTTCATCTGGATTGCAATCATGAAAAATATATTGCCTAGAAAGAAATATTAAAATTAAGTCATCCAATTTCTGGTCTCAAGGTCCCAAATCATCCATTTCCATATCAATAGATAGCAGTGGGAATTTAAATTCTGAATGCCTTCCTTGCAAATTTCATATGATCCATTCCATTCTCCCATTTTAATCTCCATGTCCCCTCCTTACAGGTCACCTGGCATTGCAGGTGCTCTGTGAGCAGGATCTGAATCTACTCTGGAGACATCTTGAAAGAACTTGGCATTTGAGCCAGCTTATTTACTGTCAACAAGCATAATTAGCCATGAAACTGACTCTCTTGACTCCTTAAGAGTGGAAGATTCACATGGGAAACACATATTTTTTAAGTGCTGTAGTTTGCAAGTAATCCCAGCTGCCATTAACACATTCCCATGAATACTCTTTAAATGGGGACTGTCATCGAAAGTCTGGCAGGGATTACACATGGAATGCATTCCCCCATAAGTTTCCAAGCACTTACTTCACTAACCCTTGTACAATCGAGAGGCAAATGAACCATGAATCAAACATCTCTGTAAAAATTCATGACCCATTAACAAGGAAATAGCGCTCAGTCTCAAATGATTTCTAAATGTCTTCAAAGAAACTGACAAACAAATAAGATCCCTGCCTAGGGCAAATAGCTCTATCACTATGGAAAATGGAAATTAATGAAAACTTGCATTCCTCTAACTTAACTGAAGTGTCTTACTGAAAACTAGCATGTGTTACAGAGTCACAGATGGTAAAACCCACCTTTACATTCTCACTTTTCAGGTACTGTTTTCTCTTTTTGCCCAATTGAGGGCCAAAGGCCCATAAGTGATCTGATGATTACCTGCTCAGAGGAATGGCCCCCATTTAGTAAACCAAAGGGGCATCTAAGAATTAATCTGCCAGCACTGTCATTCAGTAGTAGTTTTCAAATGTGGTTTGTAGGGAAAGGGAATGGGGAAGAATAGGCCTGAGGGCAGGTGGGAGACCTGAGATAGACTGAAGAAGGTGGCAGGGCAGCTTTTTAATATAAGTGTGTGCATGTGTGTGTGCACATGACTATATTAATATATGTATATGTAGTATTCGGTGTATATCTGTGTGTGCCCATGTGCATGTGATTGTGCACACATCTGCACATATGTGCATACATGTACACACGTGCACATCTCTGTAGATATGTGTATGCATATACCATGTCTTTGTATGGATGTGTGTCTTTATGTATATGTGTTTTTTTAAAGATTTATTTATTTATTTATTTATTTATACAAGCACTAGGTACAGTCAGAAGCAAGGGAGGGTGAGAGAATTCACCAGAGCCAGAGCAGAGAGCAGAACAGGCAGACTGACGAAGTACAATGCTGAGGGGAGCAGCGGGCACGGCAGGAGAGGTCTGCACGCCATGTGGGACCCTCGCTGGCGGCCAGGGATCAAACTGGCACTGCAGAGGCTGTAGGCAGCTTTGCAGCCCAGCGCTCAACCGCTGTGCCACCGGGGAGGCCCTATGTATATGTGTGTTATGTGTGTGTACATGTGTCTGGTATAATCTGAACCCTGGTTGAAATGCATCATTTCTGCTTTCACACCCCTCTTGGTATCAAGCACTGCAGGTCGATAACACCTATGATTCAACTACCAAAATTTCAAATTCTCATTCAACTAGTACTGTCTGAAAAATCTACAATCTGCTTGGCTCATATTCACCAGGTTTATAATCAGCTTGTGTCATAGTGACATGTATCTAAGATCCCAAAAATCAAAACAAGCTGGCTGAAGTCAGAAACATGGCAGTGAATGAAAGCTTTAAGATTAAAACAACTCCGGGCTTCCCCAGTGGCACATGGGTTGAACGCAGTGCTGTGAAATTTCTGCAGCCTGTGCAGTGTGGGTTCGATTCCTGGCTGGCCAGGGAGATTCCCACATGGCGCGGCAGACCTCTCCTGTCTTGCCCGCTGCTTCCCTCAGCAGTGCTTTTGGTCCATCTGCCTGTTCTGCTCCCTGTTCTGTCCCTGGTGAATCCTCTCACTCTCCCAAGCCTCTGGCTTGTACCCCAGCTATTGTATAAATAAATAAAAAAGGACAATAAAATATAATAAAAAGATAATTAAAAAAAGATTAAAACATCTCCCTCTTTTTTTCCACACAAGCCAGAGGTACTTACAGTGCCCTAGAACTCCCTGGTTTGCTCTTAGCAGTGCCTATTGGGTCCTGTGTTTCCAGTTCTTCAACTTGAAGCTCATTTTTCTAACATTAGTTTGAACAGTAAATTCAAACCATAGGCAAAATTTAAAATGCTCCTTATGTATGGGCTTCACAGGTCTTTTTGAATTTTGACTCAGGGCCATTGGCAAAAGCACCAAGGAAAAGTAAGAAATGTTTATGAGTGATGAGGTGACCTTATAAACCCACAAGAACATGTCTCATTCATAATCATTTTAGATCTACTTTTGATGGAAAGAACTAACTTGGGTATTCCTCTTTCAACTGTTCTGTGATTTGGTCTCTTCCAGCTTTTGTTATGTGTTTATAAAAATCAACTCTCAAGCCAACTTACTTTAAAATGATAACAATTTGGGGCCTCCCTGGTGGTGCAGGCGGTTGAGCGCCGCACTGTGAAGCTGTCTACAGCCTCTGCAGCATGGGTTCCATCCCGGCTGGCCAGAGAGAATTCCACATGGTGAAGCAGACCTCTCCTGTCTCACCCTCTGCTTCCCTCAGCAGTGTATTTCATCAGTCTGCCTGTTCTGTTCCCCATTCTATCTCTGGTGAATCCTCTTACCCTCCCACACATCAGGCCTGTAACCTGGTTCTTGTATAAAAATAAATAAATCTTTAAAAAACTGATAACAATTTGTAAAAGAAAAAAATGCTCTGAGATTGTAAACCTTTTTCAATGAAGACAAAGTGGGGCTTTTGCAGAAGGTCATGGGCTGTCCCAGGACCCTTGTCCTTATACCAGAAATTTCTTAAAGCACAGAATGCTGAGGAGGAAGCTGCATCTCCTTGGTCAACCTAGAGGTTGACTGAGCACAGCCTGGACTCGGCACTCTGCACAGAGGCATTTTCAGTGGCTATAGACAGAGCTGAGCTTCCATGAAAACTCCAAATGGATGGGGCACTCCCTGTTCTTCAGAGAACCTGCGATATCCTGAATTAGTTGAGGGTTCTTGAAGCAGGTGACTTTTTGCCCTGGGAGCAGGAAGGATTAGACTGCCTAAGTCACCATGGATCACATACAAGATGAAGGAAAGCTTAGGGTCTCTGACAGTGTGGTATCTGAGATCCTACTTGCAAAAGCTGTTGTTGGTCCCTGGCTGCCACATGCCCAGGCCTCCTATCTAGCCTCCCAGCCCTGCAGAATCACTGCTCCTGCCTGACAAGGATGGTCTCCCCTTATCTAGGTCCAGATCATGCATTATGATGGACCATTCAAAACAAACAAGACACTTTAAATTTCACCCTTACAGACCCCATTAATCTCTCGATCAGGTGATGTTTCAGTTCAGGCAGCCACACCAACTTAATTCAATCTCACAAAATCCATAGCCAAGGAAATCCTGCTACAGGAGGGAATTTAAAAAAAAAAAAATTCCCCATAGAACAAAGGAGATCATACCACTTTTTGGGACAAAACAAAACAAAACAAAACAAAAAGCAACTGTTACTCAGCCATACTGACCCACTGTAGGACTATGGACAAGCTTTCTCCATGCTTTTGACTTTTTAATGAAAAAATGCTTTTGGTATCTTGTATTTTATTGCTATGTAAGTGCTGCCTACAGGACTGATGAAAACAAGGTCTGCTCTTTCTGTACAAAATAGATAAGTAGATAGAATACTGAGAAATGTCTAAATTTGGAGGAAAGAAATGAGGGCATAACCATTGTACGGTTCGAGGGTGAGTTATGCTTTATTTCCAAGTCAAATAGAACACGTCTGGTTTGCACTTGTTATCTTAATGTAAACATTGAGGTTTTTTTTTAGGTCTAAAGAGAACCTTCAAATGCAAAGGTTAACAGCTTTCCCTTGATATAGTCAAAATCATTTCCAAATTCCTCATTTGAGCTGGGACCATGGACCAGCTTGCTATGTTTAATATGTCTGAACAAACCTTTTGTTGGAATGTTCTGCTTTGAAACTGATAAATACTTAAGTCATTGTCTATCTTGTGTTCCTACAATGAGTCCTGACATTTCCTGGAAACCTTTCTGAAAGAAGGAAAAAGAGCATGTGGTGCAGCTCACTATGACCGTAATAAAATGGAAGCATAGATCATGCATGAAACTTAGCTTTGGGTCAACCCACAGATCCTTAATGCAGCTGAGATTGTTCTGAGGCTGACCTCAGCTATAACATCAGATTTTTATTTTTTTGCTGGCATCAGAAAACTAAATTACTTACTGAGATAGAGCTTGTGACTGACTCCCAATTGGTCTCCGAGGCTGCTGCAGGTTGGAAATCTTCCTAGAAGGCAAAGAACATCCACAGGAGTCAGTCAAACCTCTGTTCAATCCATTATGTATAGAGTTTCAGCCTCTCAGCCATTCCAATTTTCTTACAACTAAGTGACAACAAAAATAGCGGTCCATGCTCACTGGGACCTCTGTTAACCCTTCTTGTTCAGGATGCAGCTGTATGAATTCAGGTTTACTTACCTGCACCAGTAAAATAGAAAACTGACAAAGCACAGAAAGAAGAATTCTTAGACTCTTTGGAAAAATACAGTTATTTGAGGGAATGAGGAGAGCGAGGAGGGGTGATAGGAAGGAAGGGGCAGGACAATGGCACAGGGGTTTTGGTGGAGGGTGAGTGAAGCACTCATATACACATGGAGGTACTCCTAAATGTACAGCTATGTAAATGACTCACAAGTTAAAAAAAATGCAGAGAAGAGTTAAAATTTTAACTGGGGCCAGCTACCGGCAGTGGGACCTCAAGCAATTTATTTAATCTCTCCAATCCTTCTTTTTCTCATCTGATGCTTAATTTACAGGACTATTTTGAGGATTGAATGCATTAATTATGTAATTATTACTGGCACTTAGTGCTTCATAAAGAGTAATAATAGTTATTTTCATTATTGACATTTATTTGTTTTGAATTAGCCTCTGCATAGTGTTCAATCCTGCCTGCTGAGCTCATCTGCAGGATCAGGGATCTTTTCAAAGATAAATGAACTGACAAAGGGCTATTCATGAGTCTATCAAGGAATGTCAGGAAGAAGGACAGAGGGATGGACATGGCTGTGTGAATGACAATGTGCAACCCACTGGAGGAAAGAGGTAAAGGGTAAAGGACTTCATGCATTTGTGAAAGCAATGGACTCAGACAAAGAAACTTCTCTTACAAGACAAACTTCTCTTCAAATTGTACCAATTAAGTTTCAAAAAATAAGGGTTGATTCACCATTTTTAATGTAACAGAGGGGTTTCTGACCCCACTAAAATAAAACATCTTGTTTAATTTCTTCTAGTCTGACCAGCGAATAGGGCATATTTTAAAATGATACTGAGAAAAATTCGGATTGGACAGTGTATTTACTCAAATATACTTACTGAATGAGAGCTAAAAATCAGGACTAAATTTCATTAACATTTTGAGGAGCTGAAAGTGTGTCGTTAATTGCTTATGATGAGACTGGTTTATCTATAAATGTCTGTGCTGAAGAAAAATTTTAGTTGTTACTAATAGAGAACTGAGTGAAATGTGGGGTTCAAGGAATGAACATCTCTTAAATGGACATCATTATTCTAATCTCAGCTGCAGAGGAGATAGGAAAGAAAGAGAAAATGTGGTCTGTGCACTCTGCTAGAATATACAGAATATACATACATTCTGCTAGAATATACAGAATACACATACAAAGGACACTGAATTCCCCCAGCAGGAGGCTGTGTGCAAACCAAGGAGGTTGGCATTTATATGAATCTTCATAAGCTGGTGGGCAGGTGAGACTGGACAAAAGGGCAATCACTTCTCCAAGTTTTAAATAGACTGTTGGTGTGAGGATACATATGGGCAAGAAAGAGGAACAACCTTAGTGAAGAATTTTCATTTCCACTCATTCATTCAATATCTGTCAATAACCTATGTTACATACTCTAAGCTGAGGGTAGGATCACAAGGAACTAAGGAATGATCTCTGTCCTCAAGGAGTTAAAAATGTAAACATGTAAGTAGTAAAGTACAACAATAAACTCTCAAGGGGATCTAGTTGGAAAACCATGGAACAGTAGAAAATTCTACCTGGAGAGGAAGTGGGTTGGCAAAGATTTTACTTAAGGAGAGACTTGAACTGAACCTTCTAGATTCACATAAATGGGCCAGTAAGTAGAAGGTTACTTGCAGAAAAAGTGGGGAGAGAGAGAGAGAGAGAGAGAGAGTGCACACCAGCACACCAGCCTTACACAATGTGAGGAAGTGATATGTTAAAAGGAGGAAGTTACTAGGGAAAGTGACTATGTCTTGTTGGAAACTGTGTTTGCGGGTCCAGTACAACATCCAGGCAGAGAGGGTTAGGAGGTCATCTGCTGTATGATAATGAACCTCAGGAGAGAGACAGGAACTTAAGTTACTGATTAAAAAATCATCAGCACAGAAGCGGCAATTAAAGCAAGTGATGGATTATGTTGAGTACATGAAAACAAGAAGAGGACAATCTTTAAATCTCAGAGCTGGAAAGAATTTAAGCATCATCTTATTACATGTACTGATATATATAATTGTCCTTACTGATTCATAAATGGGTTTAATTTAAAAGCAATTTATTTATATCATTTTAGAATTGACTGATATTATCAATGAAAGCAGTCACTTTGTTAGAGGACAATGATAAACAGGTGTTTGAGAGGCAAGGACATTGAGCAGCTTAGCTGTGCCCAGAGGTCAAGCCCAAAATAAAACTTACAGGCAGTCCTGACAACACAACTCTAAAGGCAGTATAAATACAGGAGCTGAATTAAATCAATCTGAGATGCTTTGGCATCCATGCTTGGGGGAGGGGGGGTGTCTTTCCCAGATTTTGGCAACAGCTCCTGGACACTGCCTGGGGGTGTAGGGCTTCCCTCACCATCCCTAAGCTGACCACTCACAGGAAGCTCTGGACCTGACTGTTGCTTGCTTGTTGGTCTTCCAACCTCCCTCCCCCTTTGACCTTTTGACTGCCAACTGAATTGTATGCTTGTACTGTTGTAATGTGAATTCCCCAGATAAAATCATATGGTAATTATACGCAATGGCTTGAATCCATTAATGACCTGAGTCCGTAAGTCCAGATGGATGTTAGCTCGCTGAGCTCGGAACCTCATATTATATACATCTTCATTTTAATTATTAGAAAACCAGTTCTCAGAGAGACAAATGGCACGTCTTCTGCACGAGACCATCTGCTGGGAAAACTAGGACCATCAGAGCCCACTCCTTAGTGCAAGCTTGTGGTGATCTTTCACATCATAACAACTGGCTTAGATAATTATATAACAGGGGGAAAAGACAGAACATAGTCCAAAAGGGGAGTCAATAAAAAAGCAGGAAAGATATAAAGCAGCACGTTGGTGGAAGTTTCTTTGAGGACATTCTTTTAAGTACTCTTAGGTATTTAGACTTCGTAGCTACACTTATAGATTCCGTGAATTTGGTTTACTTCATTTTCTGGCATAGACACATGGTGAAAATACTCGTTAAGCATATTTTCAGCATAAAGGGCTTTTCAAAGCATATGCACCCAGACAAATGTTACACAAAGAAGTTTTAGTTTCTTCATTGTCTGGGCTATAGGACCCTCATCAAACTTCCATAGGCACAAATGATAAAGGATGTCATTAAGTTCCTGATAAAATGTACATTTATCTTCTCCTAGCAACATGAATATTAGATATTTAAAAGAAACTAAACTTCTTTTATTCTAAAGATTTGCCATTATTTGTAAATGACATATTTAAAATGAGCTTGTACAAGGGAATGAGGCCCCTTATAAAATGAAACTCAGGAACTCCAAATTATAGCCCCGAAAGAAGAATGTAGGCATGGGCAAGAACATAACAATGCTGCCTTTTAAGCTTTTCAATATGATCATTTCTCTTCTCTGCTCTTCTCCCCTCCCTTCTTCTTCCCTCCCCTCCCCACCCCTCCCCTTCCCTCCCTTCTTCCCTTCTCTTCCCACAACCTCCCAAGTCAAAGATAGCAGCGAATCTTCCAACTGCCTGTTACCTTTCTTCAATGCTTCTGATTTTACTCTCTTGCTAGGTTCCACATTCCACATGGCAAATGGAATTATTTCCCTCTCCCCCAGCTTTAATGAGCTATAACTGACATATAGCATTGGCATTGGCTAAGCTTAAGATGTATAATGTGATGATTTGATACCTGCATATATTATCAAATGACTACCACAATAAAGTTCCTTATAAATAAGGTTAGTCACCTTACATAATTGCATTGTGTGTGTGAGTGTGTGTGTGGTGAGGACATTTAAAGTCTACTCTCTCACCAACCTTTAACCATTTAATACAGCATCATTAACCACAGTCACCATGCTGTGCTTCAGACCCCCCGAACTTATTCACCTTACAACTGGAAGTGTGTATCTTTGACCAACAGCTCCCTGAGAGCATGATATTCCCCACACCCCAGACCCTGGCAAGCACTACACTTCTGTTTCTGTTTCTGTGAGTTTCCTTTTTTGATTTTTAGACTCCATATCTAAAAGACATCATACAGCTTTTGTCTTTTTCTGTATGAGTTACTCACTTAACATAAGGTCCTTGAGGTCCATCCATGTTGTCACAAATGGCAGGGTTTCATTCTTCCTCCTGGCTAAATAATATTCCTCTCAAACACACACACAGACAGACACAAACACACACAGACACACACATTTTCTTTCAACTGTTAATGGGCACTTAGGTTGTTTCTGTGATTTGGCTACTCTGAGAACACCTGGATAAACATAGGGGTGTAGATATCTCTTTAAGGTAGTGATTTCATGTTTGGGTGTGTGTCCAGAAGTGGGATTGATGGATCATACTCTAGTTATAATTTATTTTTTTTAATTAAAAAAAAATATTTGTTTTTATACAAGAACCAGGGTATAGGCCAGATGCTTGGGAGGGTGAGAGGATTCACCCGAGAAAGAGTGGGGAACAGAACAGGCAGACTGACGAAATACATTGCTGAGGGGAGCAGCAGGCGAGTCCGGAGAGGTCTGCCATGTTATGTGGGATTCTTCCCGGCTGGCCAGATCAAACCTGCGCTGCAGAGGCTGCAGACAGCTTCAAAGTGTGGAGCTTAACTGCCTGTGCCACCAGTGAGGCCCTATAATTTAAATTTTTGAGGAAGCTCCATACTATTTTCCATAGTGGCTGTACCAATTTACTTTCCCACCAACCCTGCACAAGGGTGCTCTTTTCTCTACTTACTTGCTAACACTTGTTATTTCTTGTCTTTTTGGTAATAGCCATCTGTAA